TAGGGGGGGGACGGGCTGGCTCGAGCCGGGTGGGGCAGGTGGGGCCGCCTGGCGGGCCAGGGCGGCCGCGCCCGCCGCGAAGACCCTGGGAGCCGGCCGCCGTGCGCTGGGGACATTTGTCCTTCCACCCGGGGGTCTGGGGCCGGGGCCTCATGGAAACCGTTGGCCAGGACAGCTGCGGAGGAGCGGACGCGGCGCGGGGCACCGAGTGGCGGCCGGCACCCGAGGCAAGGGTGCACTTCCGAGTGACGAGGTTCATCATGGAGGCAGGTAACCTTGGCCAGGAAGAGGGCAGGCCTTGAGTGGACGGGACGTGGAAGCCAGAGCCACGGTGCTGCACTTTCACCGTGGCGGCCCCGGCCCGCCCTGACAGGGCCCAGCCCGCGGGCCGTGGCCGGCGTTGAGGGGCCTCGCTTCCCAAAGGAGGGGACTCGCGAGGTTGGGCAGAGGGAAGAGACCGGGCTTGAAATGGGCCAGTGCCTTTACGTCACGCCCTATGTACTACACTTTGAGCTGCAAGGCAGACACAGTCATTGTCATTTCACGATCACGATCACGATCGGGCGCGCAGGCCCAAAGAGAGTACGTGGAAAGGGACTGGCCCCAGCTAGAAGGTGGTCGAGTCCGGGCTCCCGCAGTTCGCAGTTCGGTTGAATGTACTGCGCCTTTAGCCACGCCTGTCTCCCAGCATACTGTATGGCACTTGGCCTCACGGAGCCTTTTGGAGCACGCGCTTGGTGAAGCTCCTGACAAGCCTTGTTGGAGAGGTCCTGTCGAACGGAGGACCCAGGCTACAGCTGGCGTTTTGAACTTTTCCAGGCCGTGCACAGTGATGTTGGGTCCCCTGCTCCCAAGGCAAGATAATGAAGTCAATTGGATTCATATGGAAACATTGTTTTTCTGTCACTTTTATCTTGTTCAGCCAGCAGACAGTTACTTCATATCTTGGTTAACTAAGTACCCAGGAGAGGAGTTTGGATGAGCCTGCTTTCAAGTCAAGATGGGCAGAGAGTTTTGTGGAAATGATGCAGGACTATGAATCCCAGTGATTTGTACATTTAATTTCTAATAAGAGTTGCAAAGTGTATCAGGAAGGATGGCAGTGTCCCCTCACATGCTCCATCATCTGCTCAGAGGGTCCATGTAAACCAGGGAAGCATGCCGCCCTTTGATGGTTTGCTGTGTAAAACAAGACTTGGAGGGGGGTTCACGTGCAGCAAATACCACCTTACTGACCTCTATGGGAAGGGAGAGTCCCGTGTAGGAACTGTTGATGTAACTGAAGTTTAAACTTTGAAATGTTAAAAGCTCTTTCGGTATCACTTTTGAAGGACTTCTTCACACAACGTATTTGCATAAGCCCTTGCCCTCAGCGAGGCTGAATACTGGTTTTCCAGAGATGTCCCCATCCTCATCCCCAGAACCTGTGATTGTTACCTCATGTAGCGAAAGAGATTTGGCAGATGGGCTTAAGCATCTTGATATTGGGGAACTATCATAGATTATCCAGTGTGTCTGATATAATCACACCCATCCTCAAAGAGAGAGGCAGGAGGAGTAACAGGCAGAGAAGGCCATGTGATGACAGAAGCAGACTTAGAAGATGCTGCACCACTGGCTTTGAAGATAAAGGAAGGGGCCGTGGGCCAAAGACTGCAAGCAGGTGCCTCTGGAAGCTGGAAAGGGCAAGGAAACGCGTCCTCCCCTGCCTCTAGAAGGAACCAGCCCTGCTGGCATGGCAGCATGTGCTTAGCCCCCTAAGACTCATTTCAGACTTCTGACCACCAGGATTGTAAAGGAAAAAATGTGTGTTGTTTTAAGCCACTGAGTTTGTGGTCATTTTAAAATGTAGCCTTAGGGAACTTATACCTTCTTAGGTAGAAGATATTGAACGTCATCTTCATGATTGATTGTGGCTTGTTCTCTACCTGCTTCTTTCAGTCTATTGCATGGCATTTAATCTTCTCTCGTTAACCCTGGTCTTTGTAAATTTGTTTTGGTTCTGTGACCCAGTGTGGTGATTTCCTTAGGAGCTGTCTGGGAGTGGAATGGGGATGGGCCTTAACCCCTAAATCAAACCACCACACTCTGGTTTTTGAGTTCTCTTCCCTTTTCAGTGTGTCCTTCTTCTCTGGGGCCTGGCTGTGGCCGTAGATGTCGCTTTTCTCCTGCTCTGCCTGCGATTACCTTTGGCAGTCACCCTGCTTGTTTATCTTGCCTTTTCTAACCTGCAGACTGGAAAACCAGTGCTGAATATAATCTTTTTTTTTTTAATTGGAGAATGGTGTGTTTTTTTCCCCCAGGGCCCATCAGCTCCAAGTCGAGTAGCTGTTTCAATCTAGTTGTGGAGGGCGCAGCTCAGTGGCCCATGTGGGGATCGAACCAGCAACCTTGGTGTTGTGAGCATTGCGTTTTAACCAACTGAGCTAACCAGCCACCCATGAATATAATCTTTAACTGTAACCTCAGGACTTGTGGGGTCTGTTGGATGCCCAGAGGCCGTTTTTCACTCCTGTCATCTTGGCAGGATTTTGGTTGGCTGAGCTGTGGGAGTGATGGTGATCACTAGTTAAATGCTTGCTAAGGTGGCAATACACAACAGTGTGTGGTCCTTTCCAAGATATTCAGAAGCTGGGACGCCAGGCGCTAACTGAGCAGTAGCCTGAAGCCCTGCTTCACCTAGTGTGGTTTGCAGATCAGTAGCTTGGGTATACTGGGGCTTGATAAAAGAATGGACTTTCCACAGCTGTTGAAGCCTTGAGCACAAGCCCTAGGGGCTTGTTAGCCCATTAGAGCCTGAGAAGCCTTGCTCTAACGCCCTCAGGCAGAGGAACCAGTGAAAGACCCAACAGTCACTACTGGCTAGGCTCCAAGTTCTTAGTCTTTTTTTTTTTTTTAAGATTTTATTTGGGAATTGGGGGAGGGGAACAGACAAGCTGCTGTCCTTTGGTTCTTCAGTCTAGTTGTGGAGGATGTCGCTTCACTGGCCCATGTTGGTATTATCATTGTGCTCTTCCCGGATGAAGCAGATCAGTCGCCGGCCTCTGGACGGCCACTCACGGCGGCTGCTGGCTGCTGGCTACACACAGTAGCTTATGGCAGCCCACCGCAGCCCCACTGCAGCCTACGCCGTCGCCGGCGACTCACGGCAGCCCAGCTCCAGGTTGAACTGTTGTTCACCATCTTAGCTGTAGAGGGCGCAGCGTCACTGGCCCTCATGTGGGATCCGAACCGGGGCCCTGCTGCTCAGAGCTGGCGTCCCAAGCCAGCTCCTAACCAACGAGCCACTCGGCCGGCCCCCAGCTCTTAGTCTTAACTGAGCAGGGGTGTGTGCCCTTAGGGCCCAACCCAGCAGTTCCCCTCACACTTTCGCAGGGGGTGAGTGATTGATTGAAGTATCTTTTGCCTATTTTCTCTTGGTAGGTGTCAAGCTAGGGATGCAGTCCATTCCCATTGCCACCGCCTGTACCATTTACCATAAGTTCTTCTGTGAGATCAGCGTGGATGCCTATGACCCCTACTTAGTTGCCATGTCTTCCCTTTACTTGGCTGGCAAAGTGGAAGAGCAGCACCTGCGTACTCGTGACATCATCAACGTGTCCAACAGGTAGCAGCCTCGGGGCCCAGGCATTTGGGAGGAATTCCTGGTATCTGCCCTAATGGGAGGGTGGAGAAGGTCCCACTGGGGCCTGCCTTCCAGGTGCTAGCAGTCAAGGTCAGAAGGAAGCACCTGAGTGGCCATGAACCAGGGCTGGAAGCACTAGCAGCAAAGGCAGGAATGAGCCTGGTGTCAAAAGCCCTGGGGGCGGGGTCTTTCAGAAAGAAGCTTGGGGCCAAAGGTCAGATAGAATGGGGAGCAGGGTGGATATGAGGTTGCCCCCAGTATCACCGTGGAGGGGCATGGCTGGAACAGAGGGAGCTTGGAGAGATGTGTTGAAGAAGATTCATCTGTAGTCTTGGACAGGACAGATTGAACCAGTTGGGTTCTGTAGGCCCCATAGGTCGACCCATCATACAGGGAAGGGCGTGGACCCAGCTAGGCAGTCGTCTTATTTAGATGGTGAGAGAAACCCAGTTAGTTGCTAAGGAGCATCTCTGGCCTTGGTATGGGCATGGTGGTCAGTGCGTGGCTCCCCAGGGCCCAAGCAACCACATACCATGTTCCTGTTGGGGAAGGGTGCAGGGGTACAGCCAGCCGGGCAGGCTGTGCTGAGGCCTGCGGGGCCCAGGACAAAGTGATTTATGGAAAGTTACTGACTAGCGGTGCATGCTAGCCTTTCCAGGAACTCTAATCATTAGAAAAGAAAACTATTTGGTGTTGTTTCTCTTTTAATAAATGGGTAATGGAAAAAGCACTCCCCACCCCCTAAGCATGACAGGTTCACAGTGTACCTCGAAAGACTAAGAGAAAAACAGGAGAGGGAAGTGAGGGAGGGCCACTGGAGTCTATCTGTAATTGCCAGGTCCCCAGCAGGGAAGACGGACAGAAGGGGAAATTATATGGATCACTAATTAGATGTGGGCTCCCTGGGTGGGGTTCTGTGGGAAATTGGAAAAGGAGTGAGGAAACTAAGAAGGATGAGTCATCGGCAGAGAGTTTTGATTACTTAAGTGTGAATCCTGTTCTCTCACATCTTGGTGATCCTGCGTAGGTGGGAGTGTTGTGGGCGTACACGGTGTAAATAAGGACAAAAAGATTTGGGAAGAAGGAAAGACAATGTGGGAAATAGAAAGCTGAAATACATTTACTCTTCTGAATACATCATCCCCATGGTACGTTTAAAGACCTTCCTTGGGCCCAGAGTGAGAGCCCTGGGCACTGCCACCCAGGTGGTAAAGACCGCCTCTGATGCCAGGCTGACTATAACAGGAAGCATAGCCGACTCAGTCTGCTAGAGCTTCCAGTTCCTCTGGAGCAATGGCAAAGAGCCCATCTTTACACTTGACATCTTGCTGAGTGATATGGGACAGCCCATTGTGGCTAAAACTGGAAGCTGGCTTCTTTCCTCCATTGGTGACTGTTTTTATCCTGTACACTAGACATGTAGATGAAGACTGATTTATAAAAACATAAGGAGAATGACACTATGTTAATCTATGGCTGAAGGACAGTGGAATTTGTATCTGCACATCATGTGACTTCAGGGCCCCCTCAGGGCCATTTCCTTGGCTGCCGTAAGCATTGCCATTTCTCTGCATAGGTACTTTCACCCGGGCAGTGAGACCTTGGAGCTGGACTCCCATTTCTGGGCGCTCCGGGACAGCATTGTGCAGTGCGAGCTCCTTGTGCTGAGAGTACTGCGTTTTCAAGTCTCCTTTCAACACCCACACCAGGTACGAACCTCTTGGTCCCTTGTATCCAAAGTGCACCCATCCACTCCTTGACAGCACTTGGAGGACATAGGAAGAGCAGGGCCACAGCTGGGCAGCGGGGCTCCCAACTGCACACAGTGACTAGCTCAGGCTCCCTCTCGTGTTCCGCTCTTGGGGTTGTCTCAGGGTCTGCCTTTCTGCCTCCTTGGCTGTGGCCACAAACTGGGGATCTGTGTGACCCCTGAAGCCCTTGCAGGTTCTGTGACCCATATAGATTGTGTGCTCAGTGAGCCATGGGAAACCAGAGCTGGTTTTGTGACCTGTCAGAGCGCCTGTCCCTGAGAGTTGCTACCCTGTGTTGGAGCTTGTGTCCAGCTCAGTTGTGCTTAGAAACCCACGAGAAAACCCGAGTCACTCATGCTAAGTAGCACACTTTTGACTGCTAGGAACACAGGACGCCCCAACAGAAGAACTGTTTCAAACAGCAGAAAAAGGGACACTTGGAACCCTTAGGACACTTGGAAGGGTGGCTTGCAGCGAGAGACGGGAGTGGGGGGGGAGGGGTGGAAGGTTGTGACGTGGGGCTCTGTACAGGATTTTGTTTCTTTTTAATTGAAATTTTTATTGAGGTAAGTGTAGATTTACAAGCTGTCAGAGGAAATAACACAGAGATCTCATTTGAGATGGAGACATTGCCCAGTCTCCCTGAATGGAAACAGTTTGTAAAACTCACCCAACACAGCAGCCAGGGTGTCGGCATTGCTGCAGTGCCTTGCTTTGTGGTGTTCCTTGGTCTTTACTTGTACTGTACTAGTGCTGTACAATATAATTTTATCGCTTGTGTACCTTCATGTATCTACCACCCCAGTTAGATACAAAACGACTCCATCACCACAGGCGTCCTTCCTCCTTCGTGTTGCCCTCGTTCCAATCTCACCCTTCCAAACGCCTCCCTACTCCTGGAGACCCCTGGCAGCAACTTCAAAACAGCTGTGTTTTCATGGTCCTCGTCTGCCTGACGCAGGGGCAAGGCCAGAGTTCCTTGGCTCTGTGGGGCAGTCACAGAGCTGAGTCTGGGGACGAACAGCTCTCACCGGCCCCATCAGGAGTGGGGCCAGTGTGACCCGCAAGCTTTGGCCATCCCCTTCCATCCCGGTTAGAGCAGGCATAAAGTGGTGGATGAATCCCCTCCTCTGGGTGTGCTGGAGCCCCACGCACATGTGTTCACGCCTGTCGAATGGGCTCACCAGTACATTTGGTAGAGTGGGAGGTTCAGGCAAAGCAGCTGTCTTCGGAAGCATTTGAGATCTTGCTTCCTGGCAATTGTCATCAGTTTGGGCTCAAATAAACACTTATAAAAATAAAAATAAATAAATAAAAGCAGCTGTCTTCTCAGAGCGTTGGAGCTGACAGACAGCTGAGCAGGAAGGTCATTCATGAAGAGTTTACAGCCATCAGCACTACTGCAAAACACAGTCACCTGTCTCTAGTCCTCCTGAAAGCAGGTGTCCTGTCACCGGCTGGCCCCTCGCCTCTGGCTGGGCACGTGGGTGCCATGTTCTGTTCTGCAGATAAGGAGCTTATGTTTGAGTGGGGCAAGGGGATGGTTAGAGTGATTGCTGATGGTGGCTGGAGCAGGGCCATGTGATGGAGGGGGATTTCGGTGAGGGTGGCCATCAAGAGTGGCCCAGGTGGGTTTCAAGAGCTGGGTCTGGAGGACAAGAGTGGGTGGGGATGGCTCAGCAATGAAAATAAAAAGAGTGGGTGGGCATGTGAGGACTGGGGCAGGGGTGGAGATGATTTCAGGCAGAGGGAGCAGAGTGCCAGGGCCCCGAGGGGGAGTGCACCTGGTGTGGTCTAACTCGGCAGGAGGCTGGGGTACTGATGAAGAGGCCGAGAGGGAGACTGGGCTTGGAGGCCAATGGAAGGCACTGGGGCTTTTTTCTAAGTGACACAGGGAGCCATTGGAGGATCTGAACAGGAAGGTGTCTCGATCCGATCTATTTTATACACATCGAGACAGCTTAAGGGAGAGTGGCTGGCAGACTGAGGGGCCGCAGTGCCTCACAGTGAAGAGGCAGGCAACTGGGGGCCAGAGCCCTGAAAGCCAACCGGCTGACTGGCATATCTTTTCAGTACCTGCTCCACTACCTGATTTCCCTCAAGAACTGGCTGAACCGTTACAGCTGGCAGCGGACCCCCATCTCCATCACTGCCTGGGCCTTGCTGCGGGACAGCTACCATGGGGGGCTATGCCTCCGGTTCCGAGCTCAGCACATAGCTGTGGCAGTGCTCCACCTGGCCCTGCAGGCCTATGGGGTCGAGGTGCCCGCCGAGGCCGAGGCCGAGAAGCCGTGGTGGCAGGTGAGGTGACTGCTCAGTGCACTGGCATGTGTCCCTCTTTCCTTTGCCTAAGGACTTTCAGAAGTGTCTGTACCTGTGTGTTCATGTTTCGTTGTGGTAATTATCCATGAAGAGCGATGTGGGCCAATTGGGATTACTGAAACTTGAAAATACCCTGTCATTTCTAAGTCTAAGACAGGGATTCTCTCCCTTGGCACTGTGGACACTTGGGCCGGGTCATTATCTGTGGCATGGCGTTCTGGGCACTGTTGGATGTTGAGCAGCATCACTGGCCTCTTCCCACTCAGTGTCAGGGGCACCTTCTGCACCAGTCCTGATAACCACAGATGTCTCCAGACATTGCCAATTGTGCCAGGGTAGGGGTCGGTCGCCCCCAGTTGGGAACCACTGAGCTCAGCCAAGCACTTTTATTGAATTGAGTGGGAGCTTGTCATAGATCAGGGGTTAATAAGCCTGGCTTCACACCAGAAGTATAGAGGGGTGCTCTAAAAAGATGAGTGGATGCTAGATAGGTAGAGAGACAGGTGGGGGGGGGTGGATGGATGGATGGATGATGGATAGATTGATAGATACTTGTAGATAGATAGTAGTTGGATAGATGGATGGATAGATTAGATAGATGATGCATAGGTAGATAGATATTAGGTAGATAGACAAATAGATGGTAGGTGGATAGATGGATAAATGGATGAATAGTAGATAGATGATAGGTAGGTAGAGACAGAGATGAAACTGATGACTGATAGACTCCCCTGCCTACCCCAGACCTACTAAATCCATAGTGCAGTTCACAGAGAGCCAGTTGAGATCTGTCCATTGGAAGGGCTGTGCTCAAGGACTTCTGCAGTCCTTTCTGATTTGCCCTGAGTAGCCCCACTGTTTCAAAATGGAATTTTGAGATCATTTTCTGTTTTTCCTTTCCCATAATTGAAGTTTGCTGTTCCTTTCTTCTTAACACCTCATTGACTGGCCTTGTCCTAGAATGAGGTTCTATGTAAGCGGAGTTTGAGGTAACTGCAGGTTTCTCCTTTTTTTTGCACTACCTATCCCACCCCGACAAACCCACAGTAGCCAGAAATCTAAATTGCGTGGCCTGTTTTCCTCCACAGAAGGTACCCCCTGGGTGCCTTCCTGGCTTGCTCCTGGCTCGCCCTCCTCTCCTGCAGCTCTTGGCTTAAATGATGCCTACCGCTTTCCTGCTGCTCCCTCCCCCTAGCCTGCTTGCCCTCCATGGGAGACCACAGTTTTTCCTGCTCTTTGCTCTGCTGGCCTTTGTAGTCTAACTCCCCCCCCCCCCCCCCCGTGCCAGACTGTAAGTGCCTGGAGGCCAGGGCTCTTGTCTGCTTTATCAGCTGACCCGTGTCCATGCCGCAGCCTGGCATAGTAGGTGCTCCCGTGTCTGAACAAACGCATCTGTGGCCTGGTCTCGGACCAGACGCACCCCTGCAGCAGCGTCGGGATGAGAAGGCGCCTGTGTGGACAGAAAATATTGCTCCATGCTGGGGCTTCTCGGGAACTTCCAGATCACGTGCCCACAATGTCCCTGCTCTGTTGGAATCAGGTGGCGGCAGAGGGGCTGCCACTTCCTGGCCCTGCTTTCTGAGGGCATCTGGTTGGCATGGCAGCCCTAGTCCCTTGGCTGCTTGGATCTGTGATGTCGTCACTGGTTTCCCATTGTCCCTGCCAGCTCTTCTCCATGTGTCTGCCTTTCTGCTCTCCTTTCACTTCACTTGCTCCTGAACTTCACTGGGCGCCACCACACCACCTCTGCTTCGCATTCTCCGCCCTCATGAAAGAAGAGCGCTGGGAAGCAGTTCCGCCATGAGCCTGTTTTCTGGGCACCACAGACTTACCCAGCAATTGTTACAACTGCGCAGAAGTGGCTTCTTTTGGGGCAGTATGCTCACCCAGCTCTTCAGTTTTTCTGGATGGCTCCAGGCCTTGTGCACTGGGAGCGCCCAGCATCCCAACACCCTTTGGGCTTGTGAGCTACGAGGGCCGGCTCCCGACGATGCACCGCCTGCCTGCCTTGGGACACTTGTGCCTGATTTGTGACGCACTCTTCCTGCTTGCATGTTCTCCGCCGCCACTTTTTGCAGCAACCGCCTCTCTGTTGTCACTTGCCTGCTGTGGGCTGGGGTTTCGCTTCGCTTCGCTGGTCAGGAGACTTAGCACAGCTTGATGCACTCCCCTGCCAGAAGCCTGCCTGCACTTGAACATGCTGGTGATGGCAGGCCTTTGTGCTAAGCCATGTCGGGCCTCCCGGTCCATGAAGCACTGCCTCTAAAGCGGTAGCATGTGTCAGAGAGGCCATCCTCTTTAAGGCTGAATTCTATTCCATGGTCTGGATGGACCACATCATGTTTATCCAGCCCTCCATGGAGGGACACTGGGTTGCTTCCACCCTTTGGCCCTGGACTACTTTTAACAGTCACTTCTCAACTTGGGGTCTCCAGGAGCACACAGGTAGTGGATTCTGATGAGCCAGCCCCTATTTTTGAAGTATTTGTTTTCAACTCAGTCCAGGGCGAGATGGGTGGCCAGTCTTCCTGAGCCAGGGCCTGGGGCGGGGGGTGGGGGGGTTTGCGGGGGAAGGTTTCCAGGTCACTGTTTCCCTCCTGAGGTGATAGCCTGTGGAGGGTCCTACGGGGGCTGTGAAGCGTGTATACTCAGGTCCAACTTTTGTCCTGGCTTGGCCTAAGGCCTGACCCTCATGGCACCTTGGTTCCCTATGCAGCAACCCCCTGGTCCGGAGGGCCACAGCATCCAACCAAGGGCTCCTTGCTTTGCTTTTTACTTCCCATGTCATCAGGGGTCCCCAAGAGCACCCTCAGGCTCAATGCTTGGCTACGAAGACGCACAGAACTCAGAAAAGCCTTTATACTTGTGGTCATGGTTGTATGGTTACTTACACTGAAAGGATACAGGTTGAAATCAGCCAAACAAAAGGAGCCTATGTAGGGCGGGTCCAGGAGAGACCAGGTGGGAGCTTCCAGGTCCTCTGCCAGTGGAGTCATGCGGACAGCACAGTTTCCCCCAGCAACGGTGTGTGACGACACACACAGAATGCTGCCACCAGGGAAGCTCTCCTGAGCGGTGGTGTCTAGGGACTTTACTGGGGGGCCTTCCTGTAGGCCTGGAGCGCCCACGTGGCTGACCCTAGTCACTCAGTCTCCAGCCCCTGGAGGTCAAGCTCCTATAGGCGGCCCAAGCCCCCACCAGAAAGCACTGTGTCAGCATAGACTACCTGGCAGGGCCCTCAGCCCAGGTAAACCAAGACCTTCTCATCAGGCAGGACGTGCAAGGGGCCTAGAGGTCCCCTCCCAAGAGCTAGGCAAGGGCCAGACCTTCCTTGGGAATGTGCAGGGATAGTCCCAAACTGCACACCCCTCTGGGTTTGGGCCCCTGGGGACTTACCTTACAATCGTATAAACTCTCTGGCACAGTCAAGAGGATGTCTGGTCCAGGCTATAGAGCAGGCTCAGGTGTTCCCCAGGGACCAGCCTAGGGTGGGGTGGGGTCCAGGTGATCTAGCCTGCCTATTTCTGGAAATGAATTCCCTCCCTTTCCTCTCCCAAGACCCCCAGAGTTTTCCCCCCACACGCTTGAGAGAGGGAGGGCAGGAGGCAGGACCTGTGCTCCCGGCCCAGCTCCATTACCAACTCCTGTGTAGCCTAGGGCAAGTCCCCTCCCCTTTCTGGCTCAGATGATCATCCAGACCTCTTCCATCTGGAATGTTCTCTGCTTTGTGATCAGCCTTGGCAGGCTGGAACTGAACAGGCTTTGCAGAGAGCCACCATCCATTCCGATAGCCAAGTACCCGTGCCATCCCCCCACCCCATGCAATGTGATTGCGCTTAGTGGCAGGTGCCTTGTTTAACACAGAGAAAGTCTAATCGGAACCTGTTTTCCTTCTCCTTTCTAGGTGTTTAGTGACGACCTTACCAAGCCAATCATTGATAACATTGTGTCTGATCTCATTCAGATTTATACCATGGACACAGAGATCCCCTAAGGCCCTGGCCAAAGAGAAGCCTGGGACGCTCGGTTGCCAGGGGACGGCGCCACCACATCGCCGTGACTGCCGGTCCCCAGAGGACTGGCTGGGAGGACTGGTTTTATGCTGCTGGAGACGGGCTGGTGAAGGCAATGACATGCTGCCACTTTGATTATCATGCTTTGACTGTCCCTGGCAGCCGTGGTCCAGACGGTGACAGGAGCCGCACCTCCAGCGGGCAGGAATGCGCTGTGTGGTGTGGCCCCAAGGCGTCCGAGTCTGCTTTTGTCCTTTGAAAGGACACCGACTATAGTCGAGGAGAATCATTGGAAGGAAAATGAAAGAACAATGGAAATCTACCCCTGGGGATTTTTAAAAAGCCAGATTTATAGAAATTATGAATGTGTAACATAGATGAATTTTTATTTTGTATAATAAAAAATGATACAAATCAACAGAGACACCCTGTCTTTGTTCTGTAGCCCGTGCTGCCCTGGGACGTGTATGGGTGCCATCTACACTCGCTTTTCTGCTGACCAGGTGGGATTGCCCCTTGTGGTCCTGAGATGTTCCTGGGGCAGCCCCTCCATCGCTTCCTGAGGGTGTGATGGCACAGCGTGTACCTATGTCATGGCGGCATCTCCTGAAGGAGCCCACGTGTCTCCCTCCTCTTCCACGGGGACATTTGCAGGGCATAACAAGCATCCTGCTTGGTGAGTGGTCATAAAGTCTGGGAAGAGGGAGTATCATCTGGGTTTAAAAACCAAGATCGGATCAAAATGTAAGTAAGAAGTCATAGACTTCTTTTTTAATGTGAAGATACTGAGTCTAGATGGCGAGTCTGGAGAACCTCGGAGCTGTGGAACCCCCCTGACTCCCACTTAAAAGGCACTTCTTCATGAGGGATTGTTGTTGGGCATGTCAGAAACAGAGGAGCCTGGGTTCTTTCTTCTCTCTGGAATTCCCTACTGGGGTCAATGCATGCTGGTGGGACCGTCCTATCAATACACAATGGTATAGGGACTGGAAAACTGTCGCAGGCACTTCCCTGCATTTGGGAGGTTCTTACCATGGGAGCGTGGGCTGTGGACACTGGCCACCATGCCCTATGATACCCATGGGTGTAGGGGATGGCTGGAATGCCTGGAGTCCACTAGGGTGCTTTGGAGTGCTCATCCCTAGTGGGGGCCACAGGGAGGGGTCACATAATGGTGCAAGTCAGGCAGCGGGGCTTGCTTGAGTTTACGAAGAGACTGTGCTATTTGTTTTCAGGGTGAGGGATCCAAGTAAATGTCCCCGTTCCCGCTGTGTCCTCTCCACATCTGTACACTCAGCTCAACTGGGAGCCCTTGGAGGACAGGGTCAGCACCCAGGCTCAGGACTCTGAGTATGGAAGGTAGTGGGTGAGGGCCCAGCCGGGCAGGCCTCTGAGGGCAGCTTTGGTGCTCTTGCCAGTCCTTTCTGTCTTCTGCTGTTTAAAAAGCACCTCCCCTCTGTCACACCAAAAACCAGGCACAGGTACTCCCGACGCCGCGGCCCCCAGGCCTTGCCTGTACAGCACTGACTGGGCACTGCCCGTGAGCAGCACTTATTGTTGATTTGAATAGAACTAAGAGACAGATGTTTCACTTTTGGATTCCCTGTTGTCTCTGCCCCGATAAGATCATAAGCTCCGACAGAAGCTTCTATGTCTTTGGGTCTCCTCAGGTCCAGCATCCAGCGACCCAGCTGGGCCCCATGCAGTTGACGTGGGGCTGTGTTCTTGGCTCTTAGAAGGCTGGATCCTCTGGACAGGAGGGCTCTCCAACCACACCTGTTCCAGCCCGTTTCCTCCCCACATCCTGCCGCAGGACAGATCAGACAAGGCGCGGATGGTTGGATAAAGCTCCCTGGGGAGTCAGTGAGCATCCCCAGCTCTGGCTGACAGCCACTGTGCTGGACCAAGAAAGCATGGCCCAGAAAGCTCTGGGTGACTGGGACTAACACAGTCTCTCTGGAGATTTTGTGTCTAGGTTTCCTTTCCTGATGACCAAATACCAGGCAAGTGGCTTTCTCTCTATGGGACTAAATTTCTCATCTTATAAATTGAACAGGTCAGACCGAATCATCTCAGACTATGATTGCTATTTTCAAATCCCTTCACTTGCTTGTGTGCCTGTCGCACTGCTCTGGGGACTTACTGGCTTTGTGTACACTGGCCTCTGGGCCTGTCATCTCAGCGCTTGTCACCCTATGTGTTTTCCTGATACAGCCGGGACTGGAAGCTCCACCTTCAGTGTGTGTTGTTATTGTAATTGAGATGAAGGGAAGGTATTGGGACCTATGTGACACTGTCTGGGAATATGTGACATGCCAGCCCTGCTTTGTAAGGACACTTTGGCCATAGGATATAAATTAGGGTCAGTGGTACAGGATGGTTTTTATTTGTTCGTTTGTTCTAGCTTCCTATTACTGAGGCTTTTTGTAGAAAATAATGGGGATTAAAGATATACAACCTACCATCTCCTTTATTTTAGGCTCAAAAAGGTCAGCAATGAGAGATTGAGAAGGTCGTCTGGAACCTGAAGCTTCCAACAGCCTTTTAGTCCAGATTGTGTCTTAATTACTGTAAAGTGATAAATGACTGAGCCTTACTCGGTCTGTCCACCTGATAGTAGGAGGAGCGCAAACCAGGTCCTGTGAGGGACTCGGCCCATCTCTTCCTTTTCAGCTGTGATGCAGTGAATGGTGTCTCCCAGAGGATGTATCCATGTCCTAACATCCTGCAGATGGTACTTATTTGGAAATAGGGTCTTTGCAGATGTCGTCAGGATGATACGAGACCTAGGGGGCCCTAATCCAACATGACTGGTGTCCGTAGAATAACAGGAGACATGCACAGAGTGGAAGGCCACGTGGAGACACAGACACATGGGGAGAAGGCCATGTGACCATGGAAGCAGAGACGAGTGACGCACCCATGAGCCAAGGAATGCCAGCTACCATTGGAAGCTGGAAGAGACAGGGAAGGACCCTCCCCTGGAGCCCTGGAGGGAGCGTGGCCCTGCCCACTTCTCCATTTCAGCCTTCTGGTCTGGCCTCCAGCGCTGTGATAGGATAAATGTCTGTTGTTAAAGCCTCCCAACTTATGGAGCTTTGTTATAGCAGTCCCCAAAAACTCCTACATGGGCCTTTCCCAGACTTCTGGCATGCACTCGTGCTCCCAGGATGCCTCTGGGTGGTAAAGATGGCGTCGGCTTTGTGGAAGGATGGGTGTTGTAGTGTTTCCTTGCTCCGAGCCATTTGGCTAAGTACCAATTTTTTTCCCATGGGAAACCGTGTTATATTTGATAGTGTGAGTCAGTGGAAAAGAGGACCCACAGGCAAAAATGAATGATTCTTTTGGGGGAAGCACAATATCTCTCCACAAGGCTATCTTGATATGGCATTTGGCCCAATCTAGACTTACTTAGCCTTATGGTTCAAGGTGGACTCGCACATCAATGAGGAAGCAAGGGCTCTTTGTTATTTGTTTGTCTGCTGTTTCCAGCTATTTGTCTTTTGGCCTTTTTTTGGGAAGTATAGACTCCGGTGGTTGGGAGGGAACTAAGAAGCCATTTTTCTCCTTTCTTGGCACCTCCCCTGGAAAATGCGTTCTCGGGCACTGCCAAGCCTAAAAGGGTGATGTGTGGAGTGGAGAAATAGAAACACAACAAAACGAGATGCGAGGAGTCTTGGTGTCATTGCTGCAATAGTCATTTGCAATTTTTGGGCCACAACTGCCTTTGTGGCTGTGCTGGTAGAGCAGAGGGGGCAGGCCACAGAACACAGATGTCCCTGTGCACAGGTGTTCAAAAACACCTGGTGAATGAAGGAATGAATGGGGGAGTAGCCCATGGAGCAAGTGAATGAGTGAAATAGTGGGTTTTTCTTTGCATGGCTTTGGGTTAAAGAGAAAAATCTCTGATTGGAGGCCCTGTGCACTGCCGGGGGCGGATATAAAATGGTGCAGCTGCTGTGGGAAACAGTTTGGCGGTTCCTCAAAAAATTAAACATAGCATTACCATATGACCCAGCAATTCCACTTCTGGGTGTGTACCTAAAAGGATTGAGAGCAGGGACTCAGACAGATATCTGCACACTCATGTTCACAGCAGCATTACTCACAGTAGCCAAAAGGCGGAAGCCACCCAAGTGCCCATCGACAGATGAACGGATAAACAAAACGAGGTCTATCCATGCCATGGAATAAAACAGGAAGGAAATTCTGATGCATCTTTCAACATGGATGAACCCTGGGGACGTTATGCTAAGTGAAATAAAACAGTCACAAAAGGACAAATACGGTAAGATTCCACTTACATGAGGTCCCTGGAGAAGTCACACTTATAGAGACAGAAAGTAGGGTGGTTGGTGCCAGGGGCTGGGGTGGGGGGATGGGGCGTTAGCATCTAATGGGGACAGATTTCAGTTTGGGAAGATGAAAAAGTTCTGGGGATGGATGGTGCGGATGGTTGCACAACAGTGTGTGTGTGCTTTGTGCTGCTGAACTGTACACTTAAAAATGGTTCAGATAGTAACTTTTATATGGTGTACATTTTATCACAATTAAAAAAAAGAGTCTGCATGTGTGCCAGGGTTCTGGCATTCGGGTTGGTGTTCTGGCATTGAATTGTTGCCTTCGTCTTGGTTCCCCCACCCTCACCTTCTCAGAGGATACACCAGGGTACCCAGGCCCTTCCATGTCAAGATAGAGGACCACCATGCAAACCTCCTCCAGGAAGGCCTCTGATCCCACAGGGCGGGCGAACACTTTCCTCCTTCCATAAAGATTGGAAAGGCGGCTGCACGCTCAGGGGAACTCCGCCACTCCCAAGGATTGACTCAGCCGGGCGAAGCAGATGAGGACACCTCTCCTTCATTCCAGACGAGAATTCATCAAATAATAAATCACACACATTATCCAGACCAGGATTGTAGGAGCCTTTCATTTTTTTTTTTATACACAGAAATTTTGGCCTATTCTTTAAATTAGGAAATTTAACTACAGACTTTAAATTATTATGCATCTGTGGTCTTCCTCATTAAGATATTTTTGTTCATCTTTATAACAGGCAGATAAAAATGTAAAACATATTTAAAGACTGAACACAGTTGACCAAGCCATTCCATATAATATAATGCTTTATAGAGAGGGGCTCCCTGATGAGACAGGTCCCTTGGCCTGAAGACTACAGAAACCAGAGCCACGATCCGAGGTCACGGCACCCCTTTTCTGAACCCCACACCTTGCGGAAAGGCAACCTAGAGACTAAACAATCGACATGTACAGTAGGCAACTTTGTACAGCAGCAGCGAGGGTTTTCTTTTTTTTTTTATATATATGGACCATTTGTTCTATCAATGTGTCTACAACAGAGAATGAAAAGAAGCCCATGAGTGTAGCATTATGCAGCTTATCTTCTTCAATTTAAACATTTCCAATTTTATTTCTTGTTTAGGAACACACAGACCCTCAACAAATTGAGTTGCCCTTTTTTGTTGTGGCTGTTTAAACAAGGACATAGGGAACAATTTACAAATGGGTAACATTCTCAATGTGCCCTTTGGAAAAAAGGGATGGCTTTAAGTTATCTGTAGCTGGCATTTTAAATGGGATTTCCTTTTCTAACTGAAATTCCTTTGCCCGAGATTTGACTACTCCTGCTCGGGGGTGACATGGCACTCATATGAAGGGTGGAGCCCGAGCATGTTTTGGCTGCCAGCGTGGATGCTCACAGATGCAGGTGGAGGTAAGACAAGCCCCCACTGATGGGTGTGGGATGGGGGAGTGCGTGATGGGCAGACCAGCCTTGCTATCAGTCCAGCTGCTGCTCAACTGTGTGTGCAGTTTCCATTTTGACCCTATGTCCCTCAGCTCCCAGCTGCCCGCCCCCAGTGGCTCAAGCCTCACAGACAGGCGCATGGATGAGGTGTAGTTGGACCCCAACCGCCTCCCTGCAAAACAGGAGACAGATGAATTCAGATGGTAAGAGAACCCCTGCTTTTTCTGCATTTCCCTCCCTGGCAAGGGTGCATTTGGGGGAAACTGAGGCTTGGCACACTGGGTGCCCACACTGCAAGGAGAGGCTCCCGAGGGAACCATCTGGGGAGCCCAGGCCCAGCTCTCCCCACCTGCAGACCAGGTGTTCAGCCGATGTGGTGAAGCTTACCTCCTCAGCTTTCCAGACTCATGAGAAAGAGCCATAGGAGTGATTAGAGCAACAGCCACGAGCGTTGCTCCCAGGGGCTTTGCCTCAGCATCTGTTTTCCCTGATGTTGCCGTAGGCGGCTGCAGACACAAATCCATACTGTTGCGGGTCATAGTTGTCCTTGAACGAGAAGACGGGTCGGAAGAGTGCTTTGGCGGGTGGTGACTGAGAACTTTTCCTAGTCACTTTATGGGCATCTCATCAACAACTTCTAGGCAAAGAGTGGGAGTCCGTTGGAGGCGCCGAGGGGGCTGGGGTCTATACTGCGGCCGCATAAGCTCCTCTTGGGTTTTGATGGTACATCTTCCTCTGCTGCTTTCTGTCTGACTCTTGTCACTCCACCCCCGCCCCCCATTCTGGGTCCTCTCATGGGGTCAGAGATGGCAGGGGGCGGAGCTTCCTGCTCTTGAAGTTGGGGTGTGGGCAAAGAAAGCCCACCAGCCAGAATTCAGCACTCGAGTTGAAACCAAAGGAAACTGAAAGCAGAACTCTCCCTTCTACCTACTGGAGGGGATCATTCTCATCAGTACTTTGGTATTTTCCTTTTAAATAAAAAATTCCATCAAAAGGGATTTTGTTTTCCTCTATAGGCAGGGGTCTCAAAGTGCAAATGTTTCGACTGTAACCACTTCCACTTAGACCTTGCCCTCCGTCCCCCTGACCTGCTACTTGGGAATCTCAATGGTGACATTGCCAGGACCTGTGCCAGGAGGAGGGAGGACAGAGGGGAGGGGGAGGAGAGCAGCAGGAGGTGGGGGGAAGGGGGGGAAGAGACAGCAAGCAACCAAAAAGATATTCTTGTAGTCTAGTTCCCTGAAAAAAAAAACTGCCACAATAAATAAATAAAATTTCAAAATGAAAACACCTGATAAGAGGAATGGAAATATCATGCCGATAAATAGTTCCTTATTCTTTAAATATGCATCTGGTCATATATGTACGTATATGTCTATACGCACGCACACACGCACACACACACACAGACTGCACGTGTCCTGGGGATGGGGTGCTTGGTGGTGTGTGTACATTTGCAGGTGGCTCCCGAGGGGTGGGCTGTCTGGGCAGGGGACATCCTTCCTAGCCCTGCAAAGCAGTGCTTGCTTATTTTCTTTTTGTAGGAATCTGTTGATCCAATTACTCTTCAGTGGGTGCAATAAAGCTCCCAATAAAGCTCCCAATAAAGCCCCCTGCCCCACAGCGCAGCCCAGATGACAAATGTCTGGTGGCATTGTAGTGTTCATTAAAAAAAAGCTTCGATAGAAAAGAAGGGGGGAACACAGCTCTTCTTGCTCTCTAGTTTTTTCTTCCTCCTCCTCCTCCTCCTCCTCCACTTCCTCCTCCATCTCCTCGGTCCCAGGTAAGAAGCCTTGAATGGACTGGCTTCTTGTAAGTGCCCTGCAAGCAATGTCTTCAACCGCCTTGGCCGTGCCCTACTTGCTGTCCTGTGCATCCCGCCTGGGTGCGCGTGTGTGCAGGGGTGCGCGTGCCAAGAGCAGTTCTGCTTAGAGGGACGTCTCCATGCTGTGGATTGGACTCCCAGGTCTGGAAGAAAACACTGACGAGGTAGCTGACTTAGTGCCGTGCGTGGTCAGGTAGATGCCGCTGTCTATGGCATTGTTGTTCTGGTTGGGGGATGGGGGTGGGGGGGCCCGCAGGCGCTCCTCGTTCTCATCCACGTCTGTGTCATCTATGAGCGGGATGTTGTGGGTGTAGTCATTGATCAGAAACTCGGGCGTTGCCATGAAGTTATGGATGGAGGTCTTGGATTCTGGTTTCTCCAGGCCTTCATAGAGTGAGCTACGGAATGCTTTCACCACCCGGATCTGGAGCGGGAGGTGGAGGGACAGAGGTGGAGGGACAGGGGCCCAAGGTGGGAGCAGGGAAGGAGCAAGGAAGGAAGGAAGGAAAGAAGAAAGAAAGAAAGAAAGGAGATAATCAATGGCAGACTGGTGCTGGCAAGTTCCACCCACATCAATGGCAGGGGGTCACTTGCATGACAAATGTTCATCCATTGGAGTGGAACACTTGGGGTGGCTCTGCCTGGCTGTGGTAAGGGTTTTCAGCTTTGGGTCTCAGTCTCGTCAACTGATCCATATGCAGAACAAGTGGTAGGGGCTTTCTCTAGGCTGACCTGGGCAGGGGTTCTGGAACTCAAGAGTGACAGAAGCACTGGACTCTTGGCGGCTATCTACCCTTTTCCTGCACTGTGGGAGGACTGGCTTAGGTGGTCCCTGGGCTCTCTGCCACATCTGAATTCCAATTTGTTAGAACAGAAAGATGATTGGAAAAGGAGAGAATGCTGGAGAGTGGGCTCTCTATTTTCTCTTACCAGAAGGTCTGAAGAACTTTGGTAAGAGAAAGTACCCAGCCTATGGGTGCATTGTCAATCTTTCTTGAGTGGGTCTCCCTCCCTGGCTTCTCTAGGGACCTCTCCTCTGCTCCCCCAGTTCTCCTGGCCACAGCCAGCACCTGCTATGCCCACACCCATCTGGCCGTCAGTCCCCCTGCTAAGTCCAAAAGCCATGTCTGTGTTTCCATTTTGTTTGATCCCTCAGGGCACTCAACACAGCTGCCTGACCCTCTTTCTGGAAACTTCTCCTGGCTTCCCTGACCTTGCCCCTGCCTGGCCCTTCTACCTCGCCAGCTCCTCTGGCCTCATTTCCTCTATTGCTCCTTCCTCTGTCCCAGGGTGCCCCAGAGGTAGAGCCTGGCCCTGGCCCTCCCTCCTCCTCTGTGTCCACACCCCCACGCCCACCTCCTAGCCCTAGCCGTGGCTCTGGGCTCCTCTGGCTGTAACCAGGGCCTGTGGCCCAGGCCCTTCCTCAGTGCTCCAGTCTCTAGAGCTTTCCAGTCTCCCATCTGGAGGCATCCAAGGCTGAAAATAGCACCATTTTTTATCTCCACCCACCAAGCCTGTTCTTTTCGTATGCCCTGATCCACTACGGTGGTTCCTCATGTCTCCTTACACCCCCTGGCTCACAGTTGGGTGCATCTGATTGGGTTGTTATTCCCCTTCAAAGACCCTTCCATCCATGTGTCTCCTACCACCAGAGGCCCTTTGCAATCTGGCGCTATCTGCCCCTCCAGCCTTTCTCATGCTGTGCTCACCTCCTCCTCCTCACTCTCCAAATCAGACAACTTCTTTCAGTCTCTCCATCAGGCTTTTCTACATCTTGTTCCATGGCCGCCCCACTAGCACCTGTAGACCTCAGATCAGCATAACTCCCCACAGGGAAGAGCTTCCCACAGTGTCCTGCTCCCCAGCCACAGTAACCCTCTGACCCCTGCACCTCCTGCGAGACCCTGGTCCCAGAATTAGCTCCTCGGTTTCCGTGATCCCGCCCTCCACTGCCTGCTCCACCTTCACTTACACGTGTGCTAAAGTCCCATTGGTCTTCTAAGCCAGAGTTGCTGCCTCCTTTTGCTCACTTCCTGGCCCCCCAGCCTGGACTCCCTCTTGCTTCTAGAAGCCAGAGTCAATAGGAAGGCCTTTGCCGGGCCCCACTCGAGCCAGCTGGCCTTGTGCTGAGATGGGGAAGCCAGCTCCTCCCTATGTGTGTTCCAAAGTCATTCCAGGTCCAAGGCTCTAGGATTTGGTTTTCTTGGTTTAGACAAGGTGGTGGCAAACTGTGGCCCAAGGGCTAACTCTGGCCCTCAGCCAGGTTTTGTAAAGTTTTATCAGCACATAGCCATGCCCATTCGTTTCTGCATTGTCTATGGCTGTCTTCAAGATCCAAGGGCAGAGTTGTGTACTTGGGACAGAGACCTGGCCTGCAAAGCCCTTTTTAGGTGAGTTTGTCCCCTAATTTAGACCATGAATCACACTGTTGACAATGAGTCCATTTCAATTCTCCAGCGTCTGGGCTCCAGGCATTGCTCAGCCAAACACAGTGCTCTTAGATCTGTTTAAACCAGGCGAACCTCACTGTCTTTGAAGTGCAAAAAGGCGAGCCAAAGAGCGCCATAAAATTGGAATTTTCTACCTCCGTATCTTAAATGCAGTTAGGATTTTCTCTGAATTTGGTGAAGTCACATCTTCCAGATTGCAGATGGCCAACTATTTGCACTCAGTTCTTTAATTCCCCCAAACTGGCCTCGGAGACAGGGGAAACACAGCAATTGAGAATCATGTGACATTTTTAATGAAAAGAAACAGAATGCACTTTCTGTAGCCATTGCAGATATGGCTTCATTATTTGGGCCTTTTCTGCTGCCAGAATTGGGGAGCCACCCGGATATTGCCATGGCAATGTAGTGGTGGTGGAATACCTATTCCAGCTGTCAGCTACACTCCTGAAGTCACAGAAAGGAGAGCAAGAAACATGTTGCTGCCCTTGACCCTGGGGGCCTTTGTGGTGCTTTTGCCAGCAATGATCCAGTGACTCTGGCTACACCCCTTCCCCTTGCCGAGTTAGTCCCTTCACTTGGACCTGGGTCTCGTGATCAGGTCAGGCCCCTACTCAAACCCATCCTCATGGTTTCCCTGCACCTGGCTGAACTCCAAAGTCTTAGCCCAAAAATGGCAGTCAGTCCTTCCCTCCCCAGTTTCTGCTGCTGTGGCTTGGAAGGTTGCTTCGGGGTGCTCCTCCCTGGTGTAATCCAAGACTCACTTTAATGTCTGCCTTCTCACTGACTTCCAGGGAGGGATGGTCTGCCTATTTGCTGCATATTCACAGAGCTGTAGCTCAATCACCAACAGGTGGTGCCAGGGCCGCCTGCTCAAACATTCCGCTGGTCAGGGCTTTCAGCTGGGCTTGCGCCATACTGAGAGTCTCTTACCGCTGACGGTGAGTCAGCGTTCCTCCAGGTTCCATTTCCCTGCATTCAGATCTTGGGCTGTTATCAAAGGGCTTGGCATTGTTCTTATGATGGGGTGTTTTCAGGCCACTCAATGCTGAAGGGTACGGTCAATTCCTGGGGCACTGGCTCAGTGAGAAGCAGCAAACATTTCTAAGAGACGCCCTCTCTGAAGGCCCAAGCACACGGGGCCCAGGGACATCCACACAGTGGAGTTTAGTGTGTCCCAGCAAAAGTATGAACAAGGCTGGGTAGAACCAGCACCCTTCCCCAACACACAGCCCTTACTGCCTCCTCAGGCTCCTCTCCTGGCCTGGAATGGTCCCAGAGGTCCAGGACGGGGTCCTCAGGCCACCTCGCCACCTCTACCACTCTCAAAGGGACCTCACCATCCTCAGGCTGTCAATGCCGCCTACGGTCCACAGACCACCTTGATGCCATACACACCCTCTGCACCATTTCCACCTGTGTCTGCAGCCAGGGCCCACCTCTTCCTGGCATGCTAGACTTATGCACCTGCTGCTCCTTAGCCTCCCATCGGATGGCTAATGGGCCATAGAAGAAGGCCAAGGAATACCCTCAGCCTTGCTCCTGCCGACCTTGGTCCTCACCTAGTCTGCCTATCCCAGCACAGGGCTCCAGCCTAACCTCAGCGGCACATCAGCTCCCGACCCCAGTGTCATGCATCAGCGTGTCCTGTGGAACACATCCTAGCTCCACTGCTGCTGTTGTATCTGCTGGGGGTCCTGGAGGCCCCTGGGGACCCCCAGCCCCTGCGGGCAGAGACCCCGCCTGACTGGTCCCTCAATCTTTTTTCCAGGTCCTGTCTGTGTGGCAGACATTCCTGGGGTCCCTTCTCTCTGACTACTGAGTCAGGCCCTGCACTCCCCGACCTTGCTGGTGGGGACTTCAAATATTCTAGCAGGATAATTTAAAAGAGAAATATAAAAGACACTCCTAAGTAAACATGATTCCGAGGGTTATGACCAAGGAGGAGCAGGTCAGACTGGGGCTGGGGGGCTTTCCTGTAGCTTCCCATCTCACCCTGAGTGAGGCCCAATGTCCTCCCATGCCCGTGCTTCCTCCGTCACTGCCTGGGTGCCCACTCTGGCCCCCGTGCCCACTCCAGGATGTCACCCCAGCCATCTCCCTCTCTAATGTCTAGGTTGCTCATTTGTTCAATCTTGAAAAAGACCCTCTTTTGATGCCAAAATTCCCTCTAGCTGCTGGTGACAGCTTGCAGAGAGTTGTTGGTATTCACGGACTCCATTTTATGTCACCCTGTTTTCTCCTGCCCCCATTCCCCAGGGACTTCCCTGCTGGGCACTCAGTGCTCCGCACACCACACTCCTGCTTCCTGGCCAGACATGGGTCTGCAGGTACTCTTCCCTCTTCTCTCTATCCTCTCACATGCAAGGGCCCCAGGGCTCATCTTTGGACCTTTTCTCTTTTTCATCTGCATCCATGCGTTTCCTAGGTGCTCCTATCCTCTGTGGCCTTAATAGCAACTCTCTGCTAACCAGTCCCACATTTCTATCTCCAGACTCAGGGCTCCTCCTGCCTCTTCCATTTCACCTCCCTCCTCCCATGCTTCCTCCCTGGTGTCCCTGATGCTGCCCTTGACCTCTACAGTCTATTCTCAGCATGGCAGTCTGAGCAGTCCTTTCAAACAGAAGCCAGAGCATGCCACACCCTCCACTAATCCAAACCTTTTAATAGCTGTGTCTCCCTCAAAAGAAAACCCAAAGTCTGGCTAGGACCTGCCTCAGGCCACTCCTTCCTCTTCCTCCTTTGCTGTCTCCAGCCTAGGTCTCCTGGTTCTTCCCCAAGCACTCCTGCCTCAGGGCCTTTGCACTGGTGGTTTCCTCTGCTGAAAGGCTCCTCCCCAGTGAGCCTCATGTCATCTCCCCCTCACCTCCTTCTGTGTTTAGAGTCGCAAACTACCTGTCTCCCTTAGCACCCCTGTACCTCTTCTGCTTCATTTTCTCCTCAACCTGCCTCACTTTCAAACACCCCACACATCCCA